AAACCGGATGACCTGCCAAACCTGTAAGATTTACTGTCTGGCCCTTTAGAGAAAGTTGGCTGACCCCCTCCTTACAGGGATGGGTGGGGGCGGCTGTAAAGATACTGGAGGATCTGAAGACATCGAGTGGGGGAAATGTTTGTGAGACCGCTCCTTTCAGACAGGTAGCAGCTGGACTGTAGGTTTGAGGGCCTTTCCCCAGAATTGCCAGGATCAACTCCAGGAGCTATGTCAGAGAAACCTAGTTGAAGCGGTGTAGACTGCCCAGTTTGTTCATCCTTTTTCACCCTCTCCCCAACCTCCCCAGATGGGTGATCTACAATGACCAGAAAGTGTGTGCCTCTGAGAAGCCGCCCAAGGACCTGGGCTACATCTACTTCTACCAGAGAGTAGCCAGCTAAGAGCCTGCCCCGACCCCTTACCACGGACGGCAGGGGACAGACCACCTGGCATGAGGGAGAAGGGCTGGGGGGTGGACTGCAGCCCCCCTGCTCTGTACTCTTGTTTCTTTTTGTCCCCAGCAGCAGGGGAAAAGCTAGAGGCCCTAGGAGAATGGGCAAGCCAAGTAGAGGGGCACTTGAGACTTTGGGGCTAGAGCAGGAATGGGACTGGAGGGTGGCCGCCTGTCTGTGAGACTATGTTGCTTCCCCTCCCCCCTGAACCCTTAGTTCTCTGCTTTTCTAACCCTGCCAGCCCCTGGTGTGGAGGGGGCTTGTTTGTGTGTGTGTGGGTGTTGCTTTGTGCAGCCTGTTCCACAAGAGGGGGTGTCCCTGCTCCACTCCCCCTTTGTGTTTGCTCCCTGTGTGGTCTGGCCAGGAGGGATATGAGGGAAATGGGGACCCCCTCGTCCTCCTGCCTAAGTCTTTTCCCCACCCTGTCTCTTCCCTGTCCTTCTCTGGAAAATGCCAAAATACATGATGTGAATAAAAGTACAATGGCTAAATCGTGTCATGTTTGATACCTTGAGGAGACTTATCTTCCTTGGGGTTTAGCAGGAGGTCCAGTGTCCAAGAACTCCCAGCCTTACCCCCTCTTTAGGCAGTTCTCTACTTTTCAGGAGTTCTAGTGCTCTTGGGACATTGAGGGTGAGGTGAGGGCTGGGAGCTGCACATCAGGGGAAGTGGAGTGGGGTGACAGCAAACATGGGGTGAAAAGCCCTTCTTTCCTGCCTCCCTCCCTCCCTCTTCCTTTCTTCCAGCAGTCACACACACTTCCAGCAGGGGGCCCAAGTGGGTATTTCCCAAATGTCCCCATTGTCTAGGGGGTCCTGGGTCTGGGCCCCAGGCTCTGCAGTATCTTGACCAGCTGGAGCTGAGTGGGATACTCCTGGGGGAAGGATTCTGAACTGTCTCTCTTAGCTGCACAGTTTCTGTGCCAATGTGGGCCGTCCCTGTCCCTCTGAACCCTGTCACTTGCCCAGTAACTAGGGCTACTTTCCCTGTGTGGGTCAAAGTTGCCTGCTCAGCAATCAGGCGTGTAGCTACTCGGATGGGGGAAGGGGCAGCCCCCTCAGTCTCCTGAGCAATGTGGTCTAGGGCTAGCCAAGCAGTTGGGAGTGGTCGGTCCAGCTGTTAGCTAGCTCCCCTGCGAACCACCTCTGGCCGTATGGAGGGCTGTAGTCGTGAAGTGGTGGGACTTTCCGAGAGCAGGGGCTCACAGTTCTCGCATTCTCTTGAAAGTCCGGCAACAGGCTGAAGTGACTGAGCCCCTACGGCCCTAGAACATTGCTACAAGAAAGGGGGTTACCACAGAATACTGCCATTCGGGCGGCGGGCGGGGCGGGGGGAAGGACTTGCCAGCAGGGGCCGGGCTAACCATGGCAGAGGATGGGGAGGAGGCGGGGTTCTGCCTCACCGCGCTCTATATAAGCGGGCAGTGGCCGCGGCTGCGCGGTGAAACTGACCTTCAGTGTGTCGGCTCCAGCGCCATGGCGCCCTCCAGGAAGTTTTTCGTGGGGGGGAACTGGAAGATGAATGGGCGAAAGGCGAATCTGGGGGAACTCATCAGCACTCTGAACGCCGCCAAGGTGCCAGCCGACACCGGTAAGCCTCTCTGGGGAGGGATCTGGTTGGTGGGGAGGGCGGGCGTGGCAGCGCCCTCTCCCGGGCCACCTGATGTCCGCGTAGACCTGGATGCAGGGCTGGGGACGAGGGCTGCCCGGGATCCGGACATTGACCCAGCAGCGCCGTGGCCCTGCAGCCGCAGTACCGGGAGTGTGTCGTGGGGGGAGGGGGGGGAAGCAGGGCCGCATTTACCGGTGCCTTCGGAGAGTGAGGCGGGAAAGGACTTTCTGGGTCATCGGGAGGAAAATGGCCCCGGGGCGCGGCCTGAGCTGCACCACGAGGAGCCGGGGGTGGGAGCGAAGGCTAGATGCGGGTTACTGGGAGAGGCTGGCAACGCCTCTAAGTGGGGACGGTGGGGGGAGAGGATGCGGCTGAGTGGGCGTGCGGGCCTCCAGCTACCTGCCCCCTAGGCCCCGCTCCGTGCGCTGCCGCACGTAGGCCAAGACTCCTCCCCGCGCTTTGCCCCGCCGGCCGAGAGCCCCCGTCGAGCTGCTTCGGCCTCCGGAGCTCCCAGCTCTAATCCTTTACTCTGGGCAGCCTGGATGATTCCTGCCTTCCATAGAAAGCGGCAGAGCTATCGGGAACGAGGAGTGATCCTACTCCTTTTTCCAACCTGGGACCGGGAAAGTGCAGGGCCTCTGTAAGCTGGTGCTGTCTTCAGTCCTTCCCATTCACCTAAATCACAGAACCATGGACTGGATCAAAAGAGGCATCCTCTTTTGTTTTATTCCCCAGAGACCTGAATGGAAACCGCAGGGGTTGGCCCCCTTCTGCTTTTGCTAAATTGCCTTGCCTTGCCTTGCCTGGGGGCTATTTTAGAAGAGAGGCGGGGTTGGCCCCCAGAGAATGCTGAGTCTAGGAGGTACCCAGACCCAGAATAGCCCGGGGAAATCGGAGCCACAGCTTTTAAAAGAGCAGAGGGCAGGGTGAGGGCCATGGCCTCCCAGGAGCACCTGCAAAGCTCTAGGAGTTGGGAACAGGCCCAATCTGGGCTCAATATGGACAAAGAGCCTCTTGCTGGGGTGAAAAGAGAAGGAAGGCAGAACTAAGAAAGCTGGTGAAAGATAAGGGGCTCCAGAGCATTGGATGGAGTTTGGAGAATGAAGACTTTCTTGTGATCTCACCCTCAGAGGTTGTTTGTGCACCCCCCACTGCCTACATTGACTTTGCCCGGCAGAAGCTAGATCCCAAGATTGCTGTGGCTGCGCAGAACTGCTACAAAGTGACTAATGGGGCCTTTACTGGGGAGATCAGGTGAGATGCGGGTGGGGGGAGGGTGGGTGGGGACCCTGCCCTCACCTTCTTCATTGAGTGGAAAGCCACAGGTGGGCTCCCTGTGAAACTGTGGCCTCATCTCTTTCTGTAGCCCTGGCATGATCAAAGACTGTGGAGCCACGTGGGTAGTGCTGGGGCACTCGGAGAGAAGGCACGTCTTTGGGGAGTCAGATGAGGTTAGTAACCAGGAGAGGAGATAAGAGATGCCTTATTCCAAGATTGGTGTCTCACCAAGTCTGTTCCTTGACAGCTGATTGGGCAGAAAGTGGCCCATGCCTTGGCCGAGGGACTTGGAGTGATCGCCTGCATTGGGGAGAAACTAGATGAGAGGGAAGCTGGCATCACTGAGAAGGTCGTTTTCGAGCAAACCAAGGTCATCGCAGGTATCTGTGGAGAAAGGGACCTATAAGCCCAGCCGGGGCCTTGGAGGCACAGAGGGTGGGGTCAGATGCCCTGCAGCCTGACTTGATTCCCATGCTGATACTGGAAAGGAAAGGGGAAGGTGGGAACCCTTCCCTGTCGCTTCTGCTTCTGCTCCATGGCTTTGATGCCTCTTGGAGTTCCTTCAACAGCCACCAGGGGGCAGAAGGCCACCCTCGTTCTTTAGTCCATGGGTATCTAGCTGGATAGCACCTTCCTGTTCACCCTTCCCTCTGTGATCTCTGTCCCACAGATAACGTGAAGGACTGGAACAAGGTTGTTCTGGCCTATGAGCCTGTCTGGGCCATTGGTACTGGCAAGACTGCAACGCCCCAACAGGTAACTCAGCCCAGGAGCCCCACCCTCATCCTACCCTGCCTCAGTAGATCTGGACAGCCACAGATACAATCTGGGCCAACTCCTCATTTTAAAGACAGGAGCCCCCAAGCCCAGAGAAAAAGAGTGATTTGTCCAAGGACATCCATTCTAGGGCCTGGAGGGGATCGGTGTTATGGCTTGGATCCCAGGGTTTCTGGGATTTCCTGAAAACACACTGCTTCTTTACGGGTGCCCAGGTTTTTTTCCCCCTTTGAGGGAAAGGCTGAAAGAGTCTTACTTAGTCTGGCTTCTTGTTCTAGGCCCAGGAGGTACACGAAAAGCTCCGGGGATGGCTTAAGTCCAATGTCTCTGATGCAGTGGCTCAGAGCACCCGCATCATTTATGGAGGTGAGTGGGTTTGGCTCCAGTCTGAGGTGGAGTGGGCTGAGAACTAGACTGAGCCGTCAGACATGGAGGTGGGGATGGAGAATGCCCATCCCATCCCTGACCATTCCCCCTCTCTTTTCCCTTCCAAGGTTCTGTGACCGGGGCAACCTGCAAGGAGCTGGCAAGCCAGCCTGATGTAGATGGCTTCCTCGTGGGTGGTGCATCCCTCAAGCCTGAATTTGTGGACATCATCAATGCCAAACAATAAGCCCCATCCATCTCTGCTACCCTTCCTGCTATGCCAGGGACTACTTAGCTCAGAAGCCCGATAACTGCGCTCCCCTTCCCACACATGCTTCTGATGGTGTCATCTGCCCCCTCTTGTGGCCTAATCCAAATTGTACCTCTTCCTTTACCGTTTACACCTTATCCTGTAATGGTCGGGACCAGGCTAATCCCTTCACTTAACTGTAATGGTTGTAACAAAACATGTCACCAAGATGGCTTCTCCTTGACTGAGAAGAGGAAGGGGTGGAGTTTGTGGGTCCCCTTAGTTCCCGGTAAAGACGAGAGAGAAACCATCTTCCTCTCCCATCTCGTACCATGGGGCCAACAGCTGAGAGCCCTGTCGTCCCCTCAGAGGCCAGGGGTACTGTTCTCGCCCCCGGTGCCAATGCCTGTGGTGTTGTGTATGTGATCAGCCCTGCCTGGGGGGAGGGGAAATAAACACCAGACACTAAGCCTTGTGATTCGTCCTTCACTCCTGTACTTCTTTCCATATCATCTTTTTCCTTGAGACAGCCATAGGCTTGTGCAAAAAAATACCACAAACAGGTTTTTACAGTAGCACATCTCTTGCTATTTTTACTTGAAAAAATGTCTTGCGTACCAGGCTGCCACAGCCTTGAATAACAGCTTCCCTTCACCCTCTGGGTGGCTCTGGGGCTGTTGAGCTCCCCACAGCTTGGGTTGGGGTAGGGGCCCAGCCTCACCTCCCCCCAGCCTCTCTGGCTTTTAAGTAGCTGGTCTAGGCCAGCAGTGCCTCCTCCCTGGCCCCTGAGGAGGAGTGGCATCAAGACCCCATGCATCTGTGGTATCACAGGGTCACTGGTAGAGCAGGTACCGCTTCATGGCAGGGGGCAAGGGCAGAGCAGATACCTGGCCCAGCCGGGTAGCCCCCAGTGTTTGGCGCACGCACAGGCGGCTCAGGTGCAGAAGGGAGTGTGGCTCCGCTGGGAGAGAGAAGGAGGGGAAGGTAAGTAGGAGTGCAGCCACCAGCCAGACATCCTCAGACTACAGGTTCTCTTCTGCTTTCCTGCTCCGAGTCTGCTCCCACCTTGGTTGAGGGAGATCTAAGGCATCCTGACATCCTGCATCTGCTCTGGGATGGGAGGCATCGCATGCATTCCCAGGCAGAGCTGGGGGTGAAGCTCTAAGTCCCTCTAAGCAACAGTCCAAGGTGGCTGAGAGGGGTGGAGCTGGCCCAGGCTTTGATTCCAGAGAGGCCTTGGGACGGGCTGATAAGCTGAAAGGATGGCCCTCCATTCTATAACAGCTCATGGGTGATGGGAGAAGCATCCAACCTCTGCTGAAGATCACAGCTGCAGAGAACAGTTAAGTTCAATCAGCTCCAGGCCCTGGCCGCATTGGTTTCCCCAAGAAGGCCCCTCCCCTGCAGCATCACGCCAAACCCTGCCTCCACTGCTCTCCTAGGTGCCCCTCCCCTCAATGTCTCCTTCCTGGGAAGTCTCCTACCTACTGAGGAAGTAGGTATGTCACAGGTCAGAGCCCAGGAAACCTGGTACACACTGGGTGGCTGGCACTGCCAGTCTTCTTCCTTTTGGACTTGTACACCTAGCCTAGTACCCATTTAACCCTTTGCACCTCTGCTCCAGGGACTAATGACAGCTCCTGTAAAGCCCTAATCCCAGGAGTGCCTCCCTCCACTCTTGAGGGCTCACCACTTACTAGCAAGTGGATTTCCCAAGCCCCATTTTTTACCTCTATTGCTGTTGGGAGGATTAAATTAGGTAACAGCTGTGAAGACCCTTAGCCATTCCTCGTACTTGAATAAGGGTAGAAGGCATGTCAGATGGAGGTTCCTTCCCTCTACTCTTGCAAAGATGAGCTTCCAACCCAAACCACAGCCACCAGTGACAGAACACTCCCCACATCTGCCCCAGGCCTCACCTCTCCTTTCGCCCAGGTAGCTGATGCGGACCTGGCACTGGCCCCAGACAGCGCTTACTGCTGGATAGAGGGTCCTGCCCTTTAGTCCCCGGAAGGCTGGCCCCAGGTAGGTCCCCCCAATAGCGTAGCCCAGAGTTCCCTCTTCCATGTCAAGAACCACCAGCAGCCTCTCCGGCACTTCCAGCTGTTCACCCCGAGGTCCGGCTGGATATTGAGGGGCACCGGGCCCCTTGCTCTGATGGTACAGCTTCCCCCGCCCGATGTCCCAGCCCCACGACTCGCTGTTGCTGCCCAGCAGCGCCGCGTAGTGGTCAGCCTGCAAAGGAGCGAGGGCCGTGGCCACGCCCACCACGGCGTGGGTGCCCCTCTGCTCCGGGGGCCAGCTGATCTCCCAGGCGTGCAGGCCCCTTGAGTAGCCCCTCTTACCCCGGGCCCCATCAGTGCTCTGGGCCACGGGCCGCCGCTCAAAGCACAACCCCCCTTCCTTGACCTCGATGTTTTCTGAGCAGTCCTTGGGGTTCCACCCGTGGCGCCGTTGGGCCCCCAGGTCAGGAGGGGGAGCAGACAGCAGTTCCTCCAAGCCTTCAGGACAAGAGAGGTCGGGGTACAGGGCCTGTGGGGTAGGGGTGCTGTGGCTGCCCCCTGCCAGGGCCGTCTGGCCCATGGAGGTGAGGAGCTGGGGGACCGCAAGAGTCTCGCTGGGGCGTCTCGTCTCTCTTCTGCAAGTTGTAGTTCCTGTTGGGTATTGACCTGGATGGAATTGGGAGAGAAGAGGGTGTGAAGTGCAGGATCCTGGCGGGGGGCTCCTCACCCAGGCGCTTCATCCTTTCACCACCCGTTCGGCCACTGCCCCGCTCCTCCCTCTTCGTTCCCCCAAAGCTCCTCAGCCCATCACCTTGCCCTCATCCATCTGTCCCGGTCTCCCGAGATTCTCGCGAGTTCGTCCCCTTCGGGCCTCTCTAGGGGCCATCCCCTCGCCCTCCCCATGCCCGCGTCACCGCTCCCGAACCTTGTTTGGCTCCCCAGGCCGGGAGGTCGCCGGGCCTCAAGAAAAGTCCGGCCGAAAAGTCGCTAGGCGATCAGGGCGCAGAACGCCGGGCGCAGAACGCCGGCGGCTTCCGTCTCCAGCGCCTCCCCCAGGTCTCGCCCCGCCCCGAGGCCCCGCCCCACGGGGGGGGGCCCTCTCGTCACCGCTCCAGGTCGCGCCCCGCCCCGAGGCCACGCCCTCGCTAGGAGGCCCTCGCGGGCAGTTAACCCTTCTCTTACCTCAGTTGGAGGTCTGTTCTCCACAGTCAAGGCGGTTGAGCTTCTGGGCAACCAACTCCCGAGCCCCTAGAGATGAGGGGCATGGGGTCAAAGGGTTGTGTTTCATTGTGCTGTCCTCTGTTTCCGTGGTCCTATGATTCTGGGTCATTGTTTCTGGGCAGGTCTCTTTCTGACCCAGTTGTGAGTCAGCTGATTCTATGCCTGAGCTGCGAACTCTTGTGTTTCGGTTCTGAGCGGTAGATGTCATAGGTCTCCATGCTGTTCTAGTCTTCATACTGGACGTCAATCCATTCCTGAGCTATTGGTCTCATTTGGGAGAGTGTAGTGGTTAAACCTTGGTTGTGGGTGAAGCTATGCCATTAATTAGCTGTGTGCCCTTGGGGAGGTTGCCAAACTTCTCTAAACCTGTTTTCTCTTGTGTAAAATGGGAATAATGATGGTACTTACTCATAGGGTTGTTGTGGAGTTCAAATAATCCAGGTAAAGCACTTAGTGTGGAGTCAGGTACTTGTATGCACTCACTAGGCATAGCTATTATTGTTTATTCAACGTTTACTAAGTGCCCATTCTATAGAGAGGCAATATAATATAATGGTGAAGGATGCCCACTGTGGATCCAGGCTGACTGGATGTGAATACCCGAAGACCAGTATGCATATGACCTTGGGCAAATTTCTTAACCTCCCTGGTGCTGTTTCTTCCTCTGTAAAACGGAAATGCTGTTGGTATCTAACGCATAGGTTGTCATGAGGATTCAGTGAGTTTTTTCTATATGTAAAGCACAGCTTCTGGTTCAAATGTAATCATTTGCGCTAAGCATTGAAATTTAAGCAGTGAATCCTCAAGGGGGTTACAAGGACATTGATAAAAACAGATGATCATTTAGTAGGTGAAATTATGGAGATATAAAGAAAGTATATGGGAGTAAAAAGGATGGGACTCCTAACTAGAGATTCAGTAGTTAGGAAAGGAAAATGTCTGGGAGATGACACTGGGTTGAATCTTAAAGAATGTCTAGTAATTGGCCTGAGAGGTGTTTCTGCAGGATGGGGTGGGGTTAGCGTTGCTGCATGTAAGAAGGTATTTCCAGACAGAGCTGGCTTGAAAACAAGCCAAAAGCAGTAGTTGGGTTTAAGGAAGTTCGAAGACTTCATTCAGGGTTGCTGCAGCAAGAAAGGAAGCATGGAGACAAGCCTGGAGAAGTCAGAGCCAGATCACAGAGGCCTTGTAGGTCAAGTTAAAATATGCAAGTATTAGCCTCTGGACAGGCCAGTAACGGGGAGTCACATAGGATAGAAGCAGGAGAGGAACATGGTCAGATACTTATTTTAGAAAAACTACCCTGACGGCAATGTTGAGGCTTTGAGAGAAATAGGACATGAAACATCAAGGCTGGTTCCAGCAGCTCAGGTAACAAGTGTCAAGAGCCTGAAATAGGGCAGTAGAAATAAGGATGAAAAGAATTCAAAAAGCACTGATGGAATTGCAAAGTTTGGTGACAGATTAGATGCTGAGGCCAGAGAAAAGAAAGAGAGAAAGGGAGGTTTCCAGTCTGGAAGTCTTTGTTGGAAGGTGGTGCCACTAATGAAGATGGAGATGACAGGAAAAGTAGCAATTGGGGGTTGGGCCAGGAGGGTGGGAGAGAGATGGTGAGGTCAGTCAAGGACATTTTTTTTTTTAAGATTTTTATTGGAGAATTGGGGGAAGGGGAACAGACAAGTTGTTGTCCTTTTGTTCTTCAGTCTAGTTGTGGAGGACGTTGCTTCATTGGCCCAAGTTGGCACCATCATTGAGCTCTTCCCGGGCGAGGCAGGTCAGTCGCCGGCTTCTGGATGGCTGCTCACTGCAGCTGCTGGCCGCTCACGCTGGCTGCTGGCTACACACAGTAGCCC